CCCGACAGACGGACACGGGGCTGCACAGCTCCAGCCCGCCCCGCCCCGACAGAGCGACGCACACCCCGACAGACGCACCCCACGCCCCGTGTGGGCAGGGTGGGTGCCCACCGGCACACGCGTGGGCACCCCCCTCACCACCCCACGCGCACCACTGACACCCTCATCCCCTCGAGGTGCAGGGACACACCTCTGCCCCCACACGTGTCCCGTCCAACCCCTCTCCTGACACACTCCTGTGCCACCATAACTACATTGGGGCCCTTCACCCCAGTTTTGCTCTCTGCTATCGGCAACAAGTCCCTGCACCCCCATCTCAACACCTCCAGATCCACACCCCATCCCTGCGCCCCCACTTTTGCACCCCATGCCAGCACTCCGATATCCACATCCTGTCCCTGTAACCCCACCTTTGTCTCAGTCTCCCCATTCCCACTCACTCATCCCAGACAAGTGCTGCTGGCTCTGGCTTCCTGCACTACCTGCCTTTGGGGTGTCCCAGAAGGGGGTTTGGGGCACAGCAGTGGCACCAGGCCTCCAGTGTGTCCCCCCCCAACAGCACCCACAAATTTTGGTTGATGACACTTTGCCCCTTGGAACTTCCCTTTCCAGGAAATCTGACCCTACTGGTGCCAGCAGATCCCACTTCTGCTTTGGAACTTGCCCCCTTCTCCTTCCCAGAAGTGTGAGAGTGGGGTGCCCTGAGCCCCAAAAGAGGATCCTCAGCCCCCACTTCCTCCCTCTGCAGCCACCGTCCCGACACGACTCCGCAAGTGACTTTACCCCCAGTCCCCGCTGCACAAGCACACACGAGGCACTGGGAGGTGCCAGTCTCTGCACAAGCTGGGGTGCAGTACCAGCACTCCCAAAAACAGCAAGCCTGGAACAGGCCCATCGATGGGGGTGCCTGCCCTGCTGGGGCTGGGGAGCAGAGCCAAGTGCCCCCCCAGTGGCTCCCTGGTTCCAGTGGTGTTCAGGAGCCTTTCCCAGGGAACTGTAAGGAGCTTGTGCCTCGTGCCTGCCAGCACTGGAGGCTTATCTGGAGTCTGCTGTAGGGACCTCTCCCACCTCACGGCTGAGCCACAGGCCCCGAGCCCTCCCTGGTCCCCTCAGGGGGGTGAGGGTCCCACAATGTGCAGCACCTTGGGGTGCAGCCTCAGGGAGTGGCAGCAGGCACAAGCTCAAATCTTAACTCCCCTTTGGGATTAGTGGGGCAGCCTGACCTTAATCCCCCCGGGTACGCAGGGGCCTGGAGGGGCCGGCATGGGACTGGCAGGGCCCCCAGCACTTGCCTGGCCATGCCCTGGCTGGTAAACTGGTGGCTGCCAGACACTGGGGTCAGTCCCAGCTCTACCCCATCCCAGTGATTGCTCCAAGGCTCCCTGTGCTAGACTTTCCCCCAAAAAACCTGGTGGTCCTCAGTGTGTACCCAAACCTGGGTGCTCTCACCCAACCACGCACCCCAGGGCACCTCTGCAGAGACTGTGACACTCAGTGCACAAGTGAGCAAGGCTGGGCCATGGCTCCTGCTCTGGGCTCCCATCTGCCTCCTGGCAGACTCTGGGAGAACCTGGAGCAGGGCTCAGCCCCATGGGACAGCAAGAGAAGCAGGAGAAACCCCACATTGACTCAGTGCTTTTGCTGGAATGGGGCTGGAGCTCTGTCACGGGCTCTGTCACTGTCCCCATAGGGGTGTGTGAGGTCTCTGTGGGCTGTACATGCTCCCCACGGGGCTGTGCAAGGTCCTTGTGGGGTATGTATAGTCCCCATGTGGCTCTGTAAGCTCCTCACAGTGTGTGTATCATCCCCATGGGGCTCTGCAGTGTCCCTGAGGGTCTGTGCAGGGACCCCACAGGTCTCCAGCTCAGCCCTTCCCCAGTGTGACCCAGCCCAGGGGTGTCAGGACACTGGGGTCCCGTGGGGGGTGCGGGAAGGATCCGGGGCATTATTTCCTTGTTGCATTTCCCCATGGCAGTTCCCCATGGTAGTTCCTGTGTCTCCTGGCTTGTCTCCTCCTGGCAGCATGGCCAGGCAGCAGCACAAGGTCCCGGCTTCTCCGTGGGGCTTCTCCCTGCCGTTCCAGAACCTGCTATTTTTGGCACAACCTCATAACTTTTGGGGCCTGGCAGTGCCAGGCTAAGAGCTGGGATGGATCTCCATGGAGGGGATGGGCTGCAGCATTCTGGGGGTACCTGCCCCAGGCATGCCTGAGCTGGCAGAGACAGGGGGCCAACGGGGCACAGGCAGGGGGCCAGTGTGTCCCCTGCCAACCTGTGAGAACCTGCCTCTGAGAACTCCTTGCACCCCTCTCCTGGGAGGGGACATGGCATCTCACTGCATCCCCCCCACAAGCCCACCTGAAGCTGGGAGGTGGCAACAATGCCCCAGAGACCCCCTGACACCCCCTACCCTGTGAGCCTCAGTCCTGCTGCACCCAAACCCGGGATGATGTGGCCCCGTGTGGCTTGGGGGGACCCAGGTGTCCGAGCGCTGGGGCAGGGGGTACCCCCAGGATGGGCACCCCAGGCACCTACCTGGCTGTGCCTGCGCCCCGGCCGCCCGCCCGCGTCCCCTCACATCGCGGCTCCCCAGCGCTGTGCCTGGTAAAGCCGATTATGCGCCGGCTTTAAGGCTCTCCTTCTCCCCGGCATCGCCTCCCACCTCGCTCCAGTGCCTGGCACGGCCTGGGGGCAAAGGGGATCCCCCTGGCTGAGTGTGGGGGTCATCCCTACGGTAGGAGGAAACCTTCAGTCAGGGGCTTGCTCAGGTTCTGCCCCCTCCCCAGGCCATCCCATCCTGGGAAATATCTGGTCCCCAAAACCCCAAGGTACGGAAGGTCTGAGCCCTCACCGCAAATTCCATCTCCTCCCCACCAGTCCCTCTCCTGGGGCTGCCCCAGATCTCAGCATCCCACCCTTGGATAAGTCAGGGTGTGGGGGGCCACCCTGCTTCCCCCCATCCACAGTACTTGCTGAGCCCCCACCCTGGCTGTGGGGCTAAAAGAGATCCTGGGGGGATTCCTGTGCAGCACCTCCAAATTCCCCCCTGGGCAGCAATGATGACAGCACACAGCGTGGGAAGGGTTTGGCTGTATTTTGACTTTGGAAGGAGATACAGGCAGTAATACAGAAGCTTTGCAAGCATGAATACAATACACAACCTCCCCAGATCCCGCTGGAGCGGGGGGCTTGTCCTGGGACCCTGATCCTGCCCTCCCCTGCACTTGAGGCTGGGGGGGCTGCAGGCATTCCTCAATCAAGGCAAGAAGCCAAGGTCTCTGTCAACGGCTGGATGGACTTTTGCAGAGGGGGAAGCTGCTCCTGCCAGATCCCAAACTCCCCCTTGCTCAAACAAAACACCTTCCTTGGTGCCTTCCTGGCAAACCAGCCCTGCCTGGACTGAGCATCCTTCACCTCATCCCTGAAACAGTTCCTGAGCTCTGGCCACCGGAGACGAGTCCGACTAACCACAGTCGAGAAAAACTGGGGTGAACCCTGTTAGATGCAGTGGCCCCCAAAGAGAGGGACCTGGAGGGTCCCCCTGGTGCTGAGCCTGCAGGAGCAAGGTCCATCACCCCAGCTGCCAAATCCATCTGGTCCTGGGATGCAGCTCTGGTGGGTTTTCACTTCCCCTACTCCATCTCCACTTGATGCCATGCGGGGTCCAGCGGCGTTCCCAGCCTGGCCCCTGCCTCGGCTAAGGCACAACTCGGCTGCTTAAAAAAAAAGAAAGGGAACCCAAAGGGCACAAGGTGCCTGGGATAGGGAATATGGGGAATACAGCATGTGGAGCGCTGGGAGTGCAGGCAGGCAGGGGGCTGGGGAGGGGGCAATGGCCACGGAGAGACATGGGCATTGCCTGCAAGCTGCCAGGAGCCCCCACGCCAGCACCACCGGGAATCACAACTCAAAAAAAAAAAAAAAAGAAAAGAAAAAAGGGAATTTTGGCTTCAGATCCCAAGAAAAAGGGTTGAAAAAAAAAAAAAAGAAAAGAAAAAAGGGAATTTTGGCTTCAGATCCCAAGAAAAAGGGTTGTAAAGGCACTGTGCTCCACTCGAGACAAGACAGCAGCCCTGGCGGGGATGGCTGCACTTCTCCCAGTCCTATGTAAAAAGCTTTGGCAAAAAAGGTACAATCTAAAGAGCATTTCAGTTGTGATCTCCTCCTGCATGGCTGCTCCGTAAACACGATTCCTTGTTGTCTTTGGCTGAAGTTTTAAAAAAATTGTGAAGCTGAGGAGCTTTTTTTTGGTTTGGATTTTTTTTATATAGAAATAGATTTTTTCTTTACAAAAAAAAAATCAAAGCATCTTTTAGCACTTTTAATATATATATATATAAAATTCCTGCTATAGAAAACAAAAATCCCCGAACTTGGGTTTTGATATCTTTTTTTTTTAAGGGAAAAAAAAATCTTTCTTTTGCTTTGGGGAAAAAAAAAAAACACCTAGCTGGAGACGGGCAGGAACCACAGGAATGCGCCACAGGGTTACATGATGCTGCAGTTCTGCACAGCCTGAGCCTGGGAGGGAGAAGGAAAAAGAAGAGGGTTAAGAAGAATCCAGTGTCACTGTTTGCTCTGGCTGTGAAGTGTCAAGTGGGATCCTCCGCACGCCTGCAGTGTCTGGACTGTGCGTGCCCAGGGCTCGCCTCCTCCCTGGTCCTTGGGGTGCAATAAATAAACCCCCCCAGGCTGGGGTGTTCATAGCTCAGAAATTTGAGAACTAGTGGTAGGTGATACTTGAGGGTTATAATATTGACTGAGAGTATTAATATAGAACATAGTATAAATTAATCTAATATTATATAGATATAAAATATATGTTCAAGTGCTGAAGTGTTCACGTTACCAGCATGAACAACACTTAGCAGTGGTGGAATGAGTGTGTTAAGGATGGAGGATTGCTCTGGGGTGCCAAGGGGGAAGAGTGTGGGATGGGATGGGATGGGATGGGATGGGATGGGATGGGATGGGATGGGACGGGATGGGACAGGATGGGATGGGGGGGGAGCCACTATGGTCACATCCCTTTCCAATCCCTCTCAGAATCTCCGGTCCCTTACAAAGAGGCTTGTGCAAGGCCAAAGAGGAAGAGCAAAAGCAGGGTGAAGGACAGGAGGGAGGAGATGAGACCCCTACAGCGCTGCCCTGTTGAGAACGGACAGCACTGGGACAGCCCGGATCCGGGGTCTGGGAATGGCACTGACCTGCCTGCGGGGACTGGAGTTCCCCAGGAGGTAGTTCCTGGTCACCAGGCTGTCCCCGAGGCCAATGCCAGAGTCGCCCATGCTGCGGTAGCTGCGGGTGACAGTCACGCTGGAGGTGGAGGAGCCCGAGGACATGGTGTTGATGCCGGCGTTCTGGGTGCCCGACTTGTCGGCGGGCTGACCACACGTGCCGCACACGATCGTGCGGGAGCGCAGGTTGTATTCACCGGGGTCCCCAGAGCCGCTGCAGCTCCCCTAGACATGAGGGGGGACAAACAAAATGACCTTGAGCCCCTGCCCAAGTGTCCTCTGCACTGAACCCCTGCTCTGAGGATGATGGTGTGACCCCGGGGGGACCTCTTCATGTTACTCCTCGAAGAGGGTCCGCACTCACCCATCCTCTCCATCGTGTGGTTTAAAAACAATAAAACAGAATTGTTATTTTTGTATTTCTAATCCCAAGTGACTGGGGCTGGTGTGATGCCAGTGGGTGACCTGCCCCGCTGCCCTGTCCTCACACCCCAGGCTCTCAGCACACCTGAACTGTGCTCCTCTGAAAACATCCTCTTCTTCACCGTCTCGCGAGCTGGCGGCTGTCCACAGGGAAACTTGCTCTTGGAAAAGATTCAGCCTTCAGATGAATGGGCATCACTGCCTGCAGGAGCTTGGCTCCTCTGTCCAGGGATAATCAATGTAGAAGAGAATCACAGAATCATGGAATGGCTTCGGTTGGAATGGACCTTGAAGCTCATCTCATTCCACCCCCTGCCATGGACAGGGACACCTTCCACTAGACCAGGTTGCTCCAAGCTTTGTCCAACCTGGCCTTGAACACTTGCAGGGATGGGGCAGCCACAGCTTCTCTGGGCAACATGAGCCAGTGTCTCACAGCCCTCATAGAGAAGAATTTCTTCCCAATATCCCATCTAACCCTGCCCTCTGTCAGTGGGAAGCCATTTTGCCTTGTCCAAGGTCCCTCTCCATCTTTCTTGGAGCCCCTTTAGGCACTGGAAGGGGTTCTAAGGTCTCTCAGGAGCCTTCTCTTCTCCAGGCTGAACACCTCCAGCTCTCCCAGTCTCCAGAGCAGAGGGGCTCCAGCCCTCAGAGCATCTTCACAGTTCCTTCTGGATTTGCTCCAGCAGCTTCATGTCCTTCTTCTGTTGGGGGCCCGAGAACTGGACTCTGCAATGCAGGTGGGTCTTACAAGGGCAGAGCAGAGTAGGACAATGCACTAGCTCAACCCGCTGATACAGCAGCACTCTTCATATCCAGAGAACTCAAAGGAAAGAGGATGATGGATTCCACATTCTGCTCCTGCAGAGACCCTGGGGCAGCATCCAGCAGATCTCTTGCCACCTCTCCATGCATGATTCCTGTGGGCATCTCATGTGCAGGACACACACATCCTGTGCGATGGGCTGGTGGGGGCTCCTGGGCTGCAGCCAGGGATGTTTCTTTGGGAGAATTGGCTGCAGCTCTGTCCCTGGCATGCTGCCTACTCTCTGCCTGCTGCCTGTTCCTCTGCCTGCTGCCTGCTCTGCTCGCTGATCCTCCTGGTGCATATTTCAGCTCCATGAGGGTAATAATGGGCTGAGAAGAAGGACAAAGCCACCCCTGGATTTGTTCCAGCACCCTCGTGAAGCAGAGAGGACGGAGCAGCTGCTGCCGAGAAGTGTCATCCATCAACTTTTGTCCATCCCGTCCTCCCGGTGACACGGGGTACCAGCTCAGCCTCCCTCCGGCTCCTCCAACACCTTTCATGGCATGTCAAGGTTGCTTAGGGTTGGAGGCACCTTTCAGCAGGGTTTTAAGACCTTTTTTGGTGAGCAGAGATCTCCTCCAGGCGCCAGAGGTCTGTTGCCTTCTCTCAAGTTGTTGTTTCCACAGCAGACTCCCTGCTACCTTCTCCCATACGCCTGACCCTGCATGATGCTGAGCTGCCTCCCACCTTGACTGGGACCAGAACTGCATCCCCCATTGACCCCCTGGGATTACTGGCATTCCCAGTGCCCTACTTACGTGGTGATGGCGGTGGTGGATGCTCATTTCATCATCGTCCTCATCCTCATCATCGTTGATGATCACAGTGCGGACCAGTTTCCGCATGGCTACCTCCTGTGGGGGACAGGAAGGGAGTTGGGGGGTTCAGTGCCTGCTGACTCCCCATGCCCCAGCCCAGACGTGCCATCGGCTCTCACCTCCCCGTTGGAGTTGATGAGGGCGGTGCGCAGGCTGTCCCCAGAGCCCCAGCTGCTCTGGGCTTTCCACACCACGTTGCTGGGGGGACTGTGGGTCGCTCCAGCTCCTGAGGCCCAGATCTGGGGAGAAAAGCAATAGGAAAGTGACCTCTCAGATCTGCAGAGCCCAGAGCCCAGGAACATGGGTCTGTCACCGCAAAAAGCACACCCCAACTGCTCTGCATCACCAGTGGCCCAGCAGGACTTGCGATCTCGGCTGGATCCTCCACTGGGCAGTGACTCACCGTGACCACCTGGCCAGCCTTCAGGGTGAACTTCGGGGGGAAGCGGTAGGTGATGGGGGGATCGTCCCCATTCTGCCGCTTGATCTGCCAGTTCCCCATTGCCTGGTCCTTCAAGAGAGAGAGAGAGCAGTGACCCTCAGAACCCCAGTTCCTCCCCAGCTTGTCCCATTCACCTCCTGCCCATGGAGCAGGGCTGAACTTCACCCCAGAGATCCCCCTCAAGGAAACTCACCTCGTTGGACTTGTTCCTGAGACGGACAAACTTGCCCTCCAAGTCCACCTCCTCCACTCCGACACGGCCGCTGGTCCGGGCATGGTGGGAGAAGCTGGTCCGGCTCTCACCATCCTCCAACTTCCGCTTCTTGGAGGAGCCTGGGGTGGACAAGTGGCTTCGGGATGCACCTTTGTGGGAGGAAGGGCTGGGGGACAGCCTCAGCCTGGTAGAGGGAGAAGGGGAGATGGAGCCAGTGAGGACATGAGGGCTGGGACCCGCATAGCTCAGAGGTGGGTGCAGCGCCTCATGCTCACCGCTCCTCCTCGCCCTCCAGCAGCTTGCGGTAGGCGTTGATCTCCATATCTAGAGCCAGCTTGATGTCCAGCAGCTCCTGGTACTCATCCAGCTGCTGCTGCATGCGTGCCCGCATCTCGGCCATCTCTCGCTCCTTCTCGGAGAGCAGGCGCCGGTTGGTCTCACGTTCCCTGGCCAGAATATCCTCCAAATCATGTAGCTTCGCTTCCTTGGCGGCCAACTGTGGGGAGGGAAGGTGAGAGTGGCCACTCCATTCAGGACCATGCCTAGAAGGGGATCATCCCCAGGAGAGGACCATCTCCAGGGCAGATGTCCCAAGGAACCCCCGCTCACCTGCTTCTGCAGCTGGCTCACTTCTGAGGAGAGGTTGTCGATGCGGATGCGGGTCTGCTGCAGCTCCTCATGGGCAGCACCCACCATGTTGCTGTTCCTCTCAGCCGACTGCTTGGCGTTCTCCAGCTGGGGGACAGGATAGGGAGATCAGCATCCTCAGCACCCGCTGCCCACCAGTGCTCTGTGCGGCCGGGGGGAAAGGAGGGTATTGTGGGGGGGCTTCTTACCTTCGCCCCATAGGTCTTCTCCAGTTCCTCCTTGTAAAGCCTGATCTGGGCTTCGTGCTGGCTCCGCAGCTCCTGCAGGGCCTCGGACAGCTTGCTCTCAAACTCCCGCTGCCGCCCATTGTCGATCTCCACCAGCCGGGTCTCGTGGCGGCGCTTGGTCTCCCGCAGCTCCTGGGGACAGGTCAGGGGACAGTGTCACCTCAGGAAGGGGACACAACTGTGCAGAGCAGGGGTTCTCCCAAGTGACCCCATCACCGTGGCAGCACGTTGCAGCTCACCTCGCTGTAGATATTTTTCTGGAATTCAAGCTCTTCCTTCAGCGTCTGCAGCCGGTTCTCGGCGTCCACGCGGCGCAGCATCTCGTCCTGCAGCTGCTTCTTGGCTTCGTTCAAGGCACTTTCCAGCTGGCAGGGAATTGAGAAGGAACATCACAGTGGGCTCTGGACACCCCAGCATCCGGTATGGCTGGGGACCCACCATCCAACTGCATCTGCCCCACAGCCCCTTGGCACAGCGGGGACCTGGCAGCCCCCAGGTAGGGGAGGACAGAGGGGTCTCTGGGGAAGCTGGAGACAGGGCTGCCACTGCTCACCTTGGCCACCTGTCCCCTCAGATCACGCACTTCAGTCTCCAGATTCCTCTTCTCACCCAGGGCTGTGGAGAGCGCGGCTTCCTTGGAATTAAGCAAAGCCTCCACATCCTTGAGGCGCGCCTGGGCAGTGAGCAGGTCCCCTTCCTTCTTGGCATTCCTGCGGGGCAAAGGATGGCACAGGTTATCTGCATGGCAGGGAGAATCATAGTCATCAAGAAATGATGGAACGGTTTGGGCTCAAAGGGACCTTAGAACTCATCCAGTCCCACCCCCCCGCCATAGGCAGGGACACCTTCCAGTAGCCCAGGTTGCTCCAAGCCCTGTCCAACCCGGCCTTGGACACTTCCAGGGATGGGGCAGTCACAGCTTCTCTGGGCAGGGGCCCTGTGCCAGGGCCTCATCATCCTCACAGCCAGGAATTTCTTCTCAAGATCCCATCTAACCCTGCCCTCTAGCAGTGGGAAGCCATTCCCCCTTGTCCTGTCACTCCAGCCCCTTGTCCAAAGTCCTTCTCCAGTTTTTAAAGGCCCTTTAGGTACTGGAAGGTGCTCTAAGGTCATGTCAAGCTTCTCATCCACCAACACCTCCAAGTCCTTCTCCTCATGGCTGACATCAGAAACTCCCCCCTGAACTGTAACTCAAGCACACAGAGAATCATGTCCAGAGCCCTCTGATCACCCCCAAAAGAGTTGCAGGATCACCCCTAACACCCACTTGCCAAGGAGACCGGCAGGCCCCAGTCATCCAGCCCCAGTGTGGATACTGGAAAGCAGGAAGGGCTGGGGAGGACTGGGGGAACAAGAGGTGTCTCAGGATGCAGCCCTATGTGTGATACGCACACCCATAGCACGGCTGCACCATGAGAGACCAGTGCTGACCAGGCTGGGGCCAGAGTGGCACAATGTGACACGGTGGGACATGATGCAGCGTGGTGGGGACACCGGAGAACGTTGTGGTGTGACACAGTGGGACACAGTGGGACACAGTGGGACATGGTGCAGCATGGTGTGGTGTGGCAGAGCATGTGATATTGTCATGTGTGGCACAGTGTGGCATCATGTGACACAGGGCTGGATGGCACAGCAGCAGCTGGGGAGGAGCTGGAGATGCCCTGTAGCTAGCACTGCCCTACCGAGGCGAGTGGGCAGAGGAGCTTGTGGCACCCTGCCAGTGCCAGGAGCCTGGTGCCTCTCCTGGAGCAGATGGGGGGCACCGGCTGATAAGCAGGGGCCGGGGGCTGCACTGGAGTGGCCAGACCTCACCACGAGCTCAGCTGTTGCTTGGTGGGTGCAGAGCTGTGGCACCTCAGCCACCCAGCACAGGGCTGTGGACAGGTCTCCCGACCTCCAACATCACCATCCAGACTCCTACGCCATCCTGGCTCCCACTGCCCTCCTCACTTTTCCAGCCCTCTGACAGCAGGTCAAGGCCATTCCTTACAGTCCCGATGTGTGACCAGGGAATCTGATCTGACTGTACCACCAAAATGCAGCCTGGTGCTATTTTGGTAGGTCCTATAAAAAGAAAAGACCCAAACGGCCCCCAGCAGCCACCAACTCCAGAGTGGGATTGTCATCCCACCTCCCTCAAAATGGGGTGTGGGACAGGTGGAGGTGGGATGTGTCCCGGGACCAGTTGTGGAGCCCCTAGGCTGTGGGTGAGCACTGGCCAAGCACTGGCTGCTCGCCAGCCCCAGGGCACATTCCTGGGGCGGGGAGTGCACACCCACGCCATGAGATCATGGGTCACAAATACCAGGGAGCGGGCGGCGGCACCACTGGCACTCAGCCCATCCCAGGGCAGGGTCCAGAACACCACGAATGGGACCCCAAGACCACCAGGAATGGAACCCTAGGACCACCAGGAATGGGACCCCAGCACCAGCAGAGAAGGCGTTCCCTGACTCGCAGGGATGTGGGAACATCCTGGCTTGGCCAATAGCAGATTTTCCTGCATTTCTTTCTGTTTCCTGACCTGAGCCAGCATGGAAAAGTCATTCTGTTATTTTGCAGACTAAACCAAAGGTTTCAAAATCCCAAGCTACTGTTTTTAAGCATAAACTCCACTTTGTATCTCAGGATGAATTCTATATTAAAAGAGCAGGAATTCAGCTTGAGGAAGGACAGTTTGAAAAAATCACTATTCCTACATGTACAGTAACAAAATTCAGAACCACTTTAAGTGTCGCTGTCAGGAAAAGCAGAGCCCAAGAGCCTCTGGGAATCCAGAAGCAGCTTGAAGACTTTCTTGGAAGTGCGTGAAGATCCATCTTCTGCCTTTGTTTTCATTTCTGAAGGTTTCTTTCCCAGCCCAGAACACTTTCTGTTGTGGTGCAAAGGGCTCAGTGTAACATGCTGGATCTGTGATAAATTATATGATGTTTTTGTGGTCAGATTTTCATATCATATTTAATGATGTGCACAGAGTATGATTTCATAGTCCATGAATTCCATAAAATAGCCTGGTTTGTGCCTAAATAGCATTTAAGCAATCTTGAGAATTTGGAATTTAGTCTGCAGTGGAATAACTGACCAAGAAATGGTGCTGGTCCCCGTTTTCCAGAGAACTACAGTCCCACTTGCTGGAGCTGCTGCTGGAGCTCTGTGCCGGGTCCTTCCTGCACAACCCACTCCTTTCATACCACTGACTCATAGGACAAGAATGCCAACTGGGAGCAGCTCCGAGGCTCCAAGGCTCACTGCAACCAGTGTTTGAGGGTGAGTGTTCCCATGTGGCCGTGACTCGTCCCCACAGCCAGTGTGGCCACCCCGGCACTGCCGGCGGGGTCCAATCCTGCCGTCCCTGATGGAGTGAACTGCCCTGTGACTCCAGGAAGGGCTTGTCCGGGGCGTTTTGCTGCTGCAGCTCTTTGTTGTCTGTGGAGGTTTGGTACAGCCAGGGGGCACCGGCTCTTCAGGATGGGGCTCTGGAACGTCCTGAATCCTCCAACTCTTTCAGGGACAGCAGTTTCATTAAGTGACAGAGGAGAAAACGCTGATAGTTACACTTGTGTCTCCATCAGATTGTCCTTCACCAGGGAACAGAGGGATCCAGGGCTCTGGGCATTGATGTCTGGAAAGCCCCATGGTAAATCCCAGATGACTCAAGGACAAATCACTTTGCCTTAGAAGCCTCCCATGCTCAGCTCTGGGTTCCACCATGAGGAGCAGAGCCGGGAGCTCAGAGCTCACCAGCCATGGGGCTGAGCTTGGGGGCAGTTCTGCAGGAGGGAGAGGGGTGAGGAGTCCTGTCCTGTCCTCTGCTCTGGCAGGTCCAGTGGTCTGTGTGACTCGGCTTCCTAGGACCTGAGCATCTTCCCCCCTATTCTTTCCAAACACACCATGGCCCTGAATGTGGTAGCAGCTTCCAGATGAGCTGTCAGTCCATAGGTGAGTCCTCTCTGGTGCCAGGGACCCCAGTGCCCACTGCTCCATGCCAGCCCTGTTGCTCCCCACTCCAGCCCAGCCAGGGCTTTGAGTTTTCCCTTCTCCTCCCCTCAGGTCCTGCTTTTATTCCCCAGCAACCTCCCAGTCTCCAGCTGGCGCTCGGCTAAAAATAAAAACTTCCATGGCAGCTGTGTTGCTTCCACTTCCATGGAGTAGGGGACAAAGCCAGACCTTTCTCCTCCTCCCTGAGGGTTCCACTGGCCTCCCCATCCTGCCTGCTAGAGCCTTAGGATCTTGTGATCCCAAATCCCCCAGGGAAAAGGGAAGCAGAAACTCACCCCAGAGGGCTGGGTGCCTGCAGGCAAGACATGGGCTCAGTGTCCTACAGGATTTGATCCCCTGTGCTGGGACAGCCATGGGTAAAAACAATCCAAGAGGAGAAAACACAACAGAAGCATCAAATCCTCAAGAAACAAATGTCTCAAGAGAAAAGATGGAGGGAAAAGGGGCCTCAAGATGTTTTATTTTTAGCTTTTAAAAGCAGGAAGGAGAAAAAAAAAAAGAATGAAAATTGCAGTTGAGCTGCCAGAAAATCCAAATGTTAATGGAAAGTTGGATCTGCTCTGGCTGCGCTCAGCACTGACAGACACGTTGACTGCGAAGCCAATGCAACAGATTCAGAGAGGGCTCAGGGACAGCCCCATAGAGCACGATCTGCTACTGCTTGCCCCCACTCTGCCCCAAAATCCCAGCCCAGAAACCTGGCAGGTCTGGGCTCTCCCCCTGGAAAAGTCAAGACAGGACAGAATCATCAGAGCTCATTGAAGCAGCTTCAGGCACAAGCCCACCAGGCTGCTGGAAAGATGCCAACCCTCTCTGAGATGCCAGAGCCCACTCCATGCATTTTTAGGAAACACCCTTTGGTTTCCACCCTCCACTATTAATCCCTGTGAGTGTTGCTGAAGCTTGGGCAGCAGCGGGCTTCACATGCTGGAAGGGGACAAATGGATGGGCTGGAGCCAGTGGAGGTGCAGGCATTCCCCTCCTTCCCTGCTCCAAATTGCAGCTGCCCCACCCTGGAGAATGTGCCAACTCAGGGAACTCGCCAGCTCATGCCCCATCCATAAATCTTTACGCACATCTGCAAATCCCCTGGGATTGCAGGTTTCAGTCCCACCTGGCTGCCAGGGCCCACATCCACCTACTCCTGGCCACGCTACTGTAGGACCGAGAACGCTATCCCAGGAAAGGCTCTTGGTACGTTTACAGCTTGGGAGCCCAAGGTAGAAGAGGCAGCGTGTGTCCTCGGAGGTCTGTCATTGCTGGGAGGACCCAGAAAACCTGCTTTGCCCCACCTTGAGCTGGCTGCTCCGCATGGCACTGCCTTCAGTGCCATGGATAGGTCCCAGGATCACTGCATGTATCCCAGGGATCACTGTCCTACTGCAGGGATCACCCCACTATACCAGAGACTGTTTCTCCATCAAGGATTGTTCCCCCATACCAGGGACCAGGGCCCCACAGGATCTCAGGGACCAGGGCCCCATAGGAACAAGCAGCAGGGACAGCATGAGGAGGGGAGGACTTGGAAAACCTCTGTGGTGGGGCAATGGGAATGTGGTGAAGCAGCTTCTCCCAGCTCCTGACTCATCTGTGCCGCAGCGCCTCTGCCAAATCACCAGGATAAACACAGGCTGGTCTCCTAGCAGGGGAGCTGGAAATAGCCAGCGTGATGTATAGCGAGGACAACATCCGCACGGAGACGGTATCC